ATACTGATTCTGGTATGTAAACATCAGATTACTAGTTGGCTTGATACAATAGCACCTCATTTTGTTATAAACAATATTGGAGAAATAAAAACTATTGATCGATGTCGTTGAATTATTTCTTTTCATACAGTTATTCTTGATTTATGTAGTCGAGAAAAAGTTATTTGTATTTGTTGGCCATTATTTTCTTTATTATATTGTTCAATAAATCTTGATGATAAGTCATTAATTGGAATATTATTAAAAAAAAACTTTATTATTGATAATCTCTTATTAATATTATATGAACAATTTAATCATATTCTACAAATATATCTATCATTGTCGTATATTACATACATTTATAGCAGATTATTTTCCATTAAAAAGTATGGAACTTCATAAAAAGTACACAAGAATAAAACGAACTTCTTTTATTAATTATCGTTATATTATTAAAATAAATTTACTTGATCATTTTTGTTCAATATTTTTTGGAAAATATACATCGTTTCGTTTCGAACATCGTTGAAATGCATTAGAAAAATTTATATTAAAAATTTTAACATCAGTTATAAAAAATACGTTAATAGAAATTTATAATAAACATATATCATTATTTGTTATTGATCAACTTGATATTAAATTTGATTTAACATTATCATTCATAACATCAATTTTAATTATTAAAATTTATACATCGTTTTATTGATTATATGTATACGATACCAAAAATAAAGATGTTTTTGATTTAAGTTCTTTAATTATAAAAACATTTTATGAAACAGCTGAAAAGGAAGAAGAAGCAAGAATGGTTTTAAATATTAAAATTGATTCGACGATGGATGGAAAAGAATTAACTAAATATGTTGGGTGTGGGTATAAGATGAATACATTAACTACACCCACCTACATTCACACCCTTCTTTTAAGAAAGGGTCAGCGAATTCAAAGATGAGCGTTACTTGTAATCTAGTATAGATAATAATCACTGCTGTATTGTTTCTTTTAGAATTCTATTTTAAACAAATGAATTATATAATATGAAATGATCAATTTTAATAATTAAAAGCTTTATTTCAGCATGTTATACGCAAAGATATTAAGTTGTTATATTTCTTTGTTTGATTCGAGTTTATATAAAATGTATTATACAAACTACCTGTACTACTCTAATGACTTTTATTTTAATTATCCATTTATTGAAAGATTGATATTTTTAGTAAAAATACATGTATTATCTCTTATTTTTTCAGGAATACATTTAAACATATAAGTATCTTTTTTCTAATAATTAAAATCTAGTAAGATGTCGTCTAATAAAATCCAATCGTTTTCTTTTCGAACAATACATAAAAACCATCAACAAGATCAGAAGTACAAAAATACCAAGACCAAGTGAAAGACCAAGAATAAGACTTAAATTATTTTTATCTAAAGAAAATTTTAAACATTAACTTATCAGATCAACTATTTCGTTAACTAACTTGGAGGAGGCGTCGTTGTAACATTGCTAAAAGTAGTATTAACATCTATAGAGAAAGTTGTATCATAAACTTTTGTATTGTCTAAAAAACACCAATAATAAATATATATTCATAGAGAGAAAGAGCTTTACATACTAGGTGTTATCGGACTATCTGTAATAAAATTGAATGAAGTCGAACTGGAATCATCGTTCTGACAGTCACAGAAGAATAGAGTGAGGAGTAAGCCTTAAAAGAAAATAATATACATTTGCCTATTATTATATTCTTTCATACCTGTAGAAGCTATTAATACATGCATTATTACACTGAAGTCTTGAGATAATTGAATGAAGTGATTATAGGATATGAGTTTAGCTATGGATACAACAGTATTTATCTTAAACCTTAGAAGTATATATATACTAGTAACACGGTTTTCCCACATGAATAATAAATAAATATTTAATCAACGTCATTTACTGAACACATTTTCTCAATACTCCCTGAATATTTCAATAAATATTGGTATAATAATAGAAAACGTCATAACATACCTGACGTGCCACCATCACCAAATAATGACATATATCAACGAGATGATCAGTGTTATTATTCATATCATTTATAACTTCTATAAGCTGATCTTTTCAATACTCACATACGATGTCATGTAATTCACGTCAGAAATTTTTAATAATATTACTCATGTCTTGCACAAGAGTTACACATTTCTATTGTTAGGGAAATATTTGATTTCCTCTACTACAGTAAACATATCTTAATCTAAGGATAACTTATAGACTTAAATATAGTATTTCATTTTTCTATCTATTTTGCAACTAATATAGAAAAAAGTGTGATAATTATATAAGGTCGTTTAAAAGTATCGTAATATTTTAAATTATAAAACATGAACTGAAGTTAATTAGTAGAAGGTGGATTATGAACTTGAGTTTGACTTGAGTCATACAAAACGTGATTGGAGTGCTACGAGACTACTATATATTTTCGAATTGAAAATAGTTGAACTTCATTATCATTGTTATCGATATCATCCGGAATTATTGGAACAATAGAACATATAGAAGTATGAAAATCAATAGCAATAGTATCAACGATAGAAACTCATCTAGACTATCTCGCTATTTCTATACAAGTATTATACTAGAAGATCGATAAAACAAGACCAATATTATCTCTCGTAATTACACATAATATTTTATAAGGATGGTATTTCATATTGAAACTATTGAAAAGAAGGATTCAAAATTCAATTATATAAAAGTGAAATTTATTTATAATAAAAATGTATTTTGTCTCTATTTGAATATTGTTAATGATTATTAGGCATGTTCAGATGATTTTGTTTCTTGAGTAGATTGATGAGCAGCCCATGCTTTATAGTAAATTCCAATTTCTTCAACAAAACCTACATGTCTTGGATGCCATCCTAATTCATTGATAGCTTTAGCGGGATTGATAATACTAATTATACAAATAAAAGATATTAATTATTTATCATCAAAATAAATAACTTACGAATCTGTATTCCATCTTGTTGGTACATCCTTATCCGCTTCTTTATATTCAATAGTTTCTTTTCGACCTTGAGCTTTAGCCATTGCAGTTTTTAATTCTTCATATGTTGGATTGTCATTTGGTGCAGCCAAATTATAAACTAAATGTGAATGAGTTAGGTAGAAATATGAATATATACAAAAAGAAAAGAATCTTACGTTGTTTATCAACAACAACACGTGGAGCTCTTGCTATAGCAACATAACCTTTACCAAGATCATCAACATGAACCCAACTCCAACGCATATCTCTTCGTCCTTGAATAACTAAAGCTTCTGAATAGAATAAATTAGCTACAAAACCACCTTGTCCACCATAAACAAAACCAGGACGAACAACTGTTGTCTTAAGTGATGTAGATGAAACAGCTAAAATATGATTTTCAAAATCTTCACGATCTTTCATAGCTGAGACATTAGCTGAAGATGAATTATTAGCTCCTTGATTAGCAGCTCGTGGTTTTACCATTTCATCCACAGGACGTCGTCCTGTTGAAGATGTATCACCATCTAAAACGAAAAAAAATGTAATAGATTGTACAAAGAAAAACTGTTTTCACATCGAAATGCCGATACTTACAAGTCATAATACCCGAAGTGAAAATATAGAGTGGTGCATAATGAGAAAGTTTACCATTTTCTGTTCTAGTTTTTCCAGTTTGTATAGCTACTTCAAGTAAACTAGATGAAAGTTTAGCGTTATAACCAACAGTGTCAACAATGACTGAACATAAAGCCAGTGTATCAGCAAATGACTGAAGATCATCAAATGTTTGTGCTACGATTGGTTCAATTTCGTTTTGTAATAGAATATTTGAATATTTTTCGTTACGAATCAATCCATAGACACGATATCCAGCACGACGAAAGGCTTGAGCTACACCTAAACCAATGTAACCACTAGCACCAATTACGAAAACAGACGAGGACATTTCTATGAGAACAAAAAAAAAGAATTATAATAACGAGCATTGTTATCTCACCTTGAAAAATACTTTTAACCGCGTGTATCAAGAAGACTGGCTAATAATAAAAAAAGAAACAAGGAGTATCGACCTTTTATATATGCTTCTTTTCTTCTTTCATCATGATGATGACAAGTAATTTTACAAAATAAAGGAAGAAAAATATTTACCCTTTTTATTTTATTTCATTGTCATCTATTATCAGCAGATTTGGTTTTATGCATACCGCATAATGTAAAGCGACGTGAATCAAACGATAACTATTTTATTCGCCGAAAGAAAAGGTCAACGATGTCTATTAATGTACTTGTTTTGTTTGAAGATCATGAAAAAGTATCAGAATCGCATAGGGTGCGGGTGTGTGAGTCTCAGTTGGCCATGATGCTTTTATACCCACATCCTCAAATTATAGGACTGAGATAGTTAGAAAGCCTATTGTTTCTATTCAGGATATACGAATTACTTGACTAAACTGCAAAACCAAGCTCAACCGAGATCTTTCCATAAATGTTGATATTCAACCTACAGGTCAAGATAATTGGCAATCGAATGAACAAAATTTAAAGATCTGAAAATAGTCGATTTAAAATATCTTTCGCGATATGTTTTTATGTATTCATTTTACGTTTGTTGTTTATCTGCCATTTTCTTAAAAAAGATAGATGAAGTATAATTTGTTCTTTTCTTGTATTAATTCTATTTTCAGAAAATTTAATAATACAAAATATGAGTCAAATATATATACGTAATAATGAATCGATAGATAAGAAATACGTATACACAACATAAATATATGCACATTTATAAGTACCTTGATTTTCATTCTGTGACCAATCAAGAAAGCTTCTGAACGGAAAAAAGCTTGTATAATACAATATAGATAAGCAACATACAATTTTTTTCGTATGATACATATTATACCTATTGGAGAGAGAGAAAAAGCACATGACATAAAAAGAAAAAATATTGTGTTTATTTTTTTTCTATACAAAAATTATTGAAGATAAAAAATGATATCTAAAATGAAACTTGAAATGTTACCAAATGAATTATTACTGGATTTATTTGAATATTTTGATTGTATTTATCTTCTTCGTAGTTTCTTTGGTTATAATAATCGTTTTAATCACCTTATTTATATTTATTTACAAACTCATCAATTAAATCTAGAATTTATATCAAAAGATAATTTTGATTTAATTTCACAAAAATATTTATCATCATTAACTCATCATATTATTTCACTTCGTCTTTCAAATGAACAAACACCGAATTTATCTAATCTTCTTTTTTCATCTAATTTTACAATTGATAAATTTTTTTATTTACAATCACTTTATTTGCATTATATTCCTTCGCTTGATATATTAATTGAAATAACATATTATTGTAAAAACCTTATTTATCTTACTGATCTTACGATAATTAAATGTAATATTAATGAAAAATTAAAAAATTGTATAAATTTATTTCATAATATATGGAATATACCAAAATTATCCTATTGTAATTTAGATGGTATTGAATTAAAATGTTTTTCATTATTATTTATGTCGAAAATATCATTAACAATTAAGAAACTTTTTATTGAAAATATTTCATGTGATTTATCTTATTTATTTTGTATATTAAATTGTACACCTAATTTAGAACAACTTTCTACAACAATTTATTCTTATTCTACTAATACAAATCTTGATGCTATTATTCAATCAATGAAATCATTAAAAATATATTATCAAGGTTCAATCGATTCATTGAAAACTATTTTATCTCAAATGCCTAATCTAACTCATTTAAAAATCGGAACATTGGATTTAATTATGGATGGAAATGTATGGAAACAAATATTAAATGAGTATTTATCTAAAATTGAAATATTTCAATTAAAAATGAAATTAGAATTTGAAGGAAATGATACTGATGTCGAAAAAAGTGTTAATCAATTACTTGATAGTTTTAATACAAGATTTTGGATTGAAGAACATCGATGGTATGTGCGTTGTGATTGGGAATTATCAGAAATAACTACATATGCTTTTCTCTATACACTTCCATATGCATTCAAGACAATTTATTATTTAAATGAATGTAATACGAGATCTACTTGTGATGATGAAGAAAAATATCGATCATATAAATGTGTTGAAATGTTCGAAAATAGTTATAGGAAAAGTATGTTATTACATAATTTTAATCTTGT